AGAACATGTATAGAACACATAAATACTTTATTTGTACAAAGCAGTGACATATCTCCTTCCCTATGTTGCTGTTCCATTCAGATGGTTCATTGTTCAACTTTTTAATGCTTATGTCATTCCTCCTCGGCACTGTCAATGTCAATCGTAGCAGCTGAAGGAGATTAATTATTCCCAAACATGTCATAATCCTCTAAAACAGCATTGTGTATCTCTCTCAACCTTCTGATATTGTTTGAAACAACCTTTGCAAAAATGGCTTCCTCTTTTTTTCTAAGTAAAAGGTGCCTTGTTTCAGCTCTGAGAGGTTGTCTTCCAATCCTGCATGGTGGAGAGTAAAATCACAGTAAATGTGTAAAGCTTTACTGTAATGCTACTGTACACTACATACTAAAGTGTGATTACAATAATGAGCAAACCTTACAATGTCCATATTCAGTAGTCTAAGTTATAGCTTATTTATTTAAAATGCAAAATTATCAGTGGGATGTATTTTGAATTAATAAAGTATACTTACTCAAATGTAATACTAATGAGTTCATTGTTTGAATTGCATAATAAACAGGGTTACATTTATGCAATTCCCACAATAAAATGTATTTGATATAAATACAATAATTAGTAATTATTTTGAGTAAGTATACTAATATACTACTAATTATATTAATATTAAATACATAAACCTGATGATTAGGTATTTATGGGAGTTTGTTATGTAATAACTGCTGATTTTACTATCACTTATTGTAAAATGTTTGTTTTAAATTAACCAGATACACTTTCTGTAAATGTTTTTTATAACTATGCAGTATTTGTGTTAACAGTTTCTCTCTTAATTCTTTGCCGTTTAGTCTTTATTTACTTTTTTTTTTATACACTTTTAAGTTCTATTTTGTGTGAATCTTTTCACTAAAAAATGTTGGTCAATCTGTTGCTGTTACAGCACAATTTTTCCATTGCAGGATAATGAAGGAATTTTCTGTTCTATTCTATTTCTTCTAAGAGAAATGTACACATCTTTTCCTGGTTGGTTCATGTATGCTTGCAAATAGAGGTTTATGGTAATCTTATCTTTTGTGGCATTTATTGCTTCACACACCCCTTCACATCAGTGAAAGTGAGGTTCACCTCACAGTAGCTTTTCAAAAAGTTTTAGGAAACAAAAAAAAAATATTTTAAAGTCTGTGAAATTTGCTTTAATGATTTTGAGAAATAAGTTAATATTTTGTATGCAATGGCTCAAGCGAAGAAATAAGGACTTTTGGCTGTCCATAGAATGACTACTTTGCATTTACAACAATTATAGTTCATTTTGTGTGACTTGACATGGGAAACGATAAAGTTATCAAACAGCTGAGGGTTGTATTAAAACAATTGATGCATGTCCAAAATATTAAAATGTCTAAATATTCTATAGGTTGAACTGGCTGTTGTGTGAATGTGTTGTGAGAATTGTGCCAAAGCAACTGAGAAAAACTGTATAAGAAAAGCTGCCCAGTATTTGTTCAGATGTTTATACAGCCAGAGGTAAAAAAAACAAAACAGAAAATAGAATTACCATAGGCCAGTGCTGTTTTCAGTAGTTACATTTATAAATATGTACCACCTTCCTAATATCGGTTGTAGCCTATGTGATTAAATTAATTATAAGCCCTTCAGATCCTGAGCTTAATATCTCTGAGTTTTGGAAAAGGTTGTGATCCATCAATTACCTAGGAAACTAAATTTATAAAAATTGTAAATCCTTTTTTTTTTTTTTTTTTTACAGTTTTATGTGACGCTATTAGCAATATAGATATAAACTGTAGGATTAAAGTTAAATATGGGATTAGGATTAATTGTTATTAACACATATTTTTCTATTTTATTTGATTTTCTTTAGTTGATCTTGCATAGAAGTTGAAGTCCATTTAACTGCCTAATATATTATTGCTATGCAGAAATAAGTTTCTATTTTGATAACAAATTGAATTTAAAGCACACAAAAAAGTTCATGCTTTTTTTTTCTTTTCCACCAACCAACGTGTTGAGTGTCTATGTGTTTTTTTGTTTTGTTTTTTGACACCTAAAAAGCATTCAGCATTAAGTGTCCAACACAGTTAGGTGCCTGCTAAGGACTCGCTAGAAAAATATTCGAAAGTGGCCCTTTATGACTACGTCACTCACACGCGACGGTACAGCCTTTGGCTCCAGTTGCAAACCAAACCATCGCATCTCCGTGCAGCGGCGGCTTGGTTGTTTTTGTCACGGAGTTGACTAAAACAACGAGATACTGTAGGAGGAGGAAGGCGAATTAAGGTATTTTTTAAAACCGAGTCATATTTGTAAATAATCTAGCGAAGAGTAGTTCGCCGTTTTGGGTATTTTGAAACATTTAGAAAAGGCGCATCAGGCGAGGGACGGGAAATGGTGCAGAGAGCGGAGCTAGCAGGATAACGGCTAATGTTAGCTTGGTGGAAGAACGATAGGAGCTTTTGGCATCTTTTACTGCATGTCAGTCTTTCATATATATGAACCTCATTATATCTCGGTGGTTTAATAAATTAGTCTTTCTACCCTTCAATATAAAAGTGATAACATTATGCATGTAAGTGCTTAAAAGAGGAAAACAGAGGACGTATTGCTGTTTTAATGAGCAATTAACTAGTTGTACTTGAGTTTTAAGTAGTTGTAGTTGTGTCACTTGTAGAACATTGAAACGTTATATTCAAATCTCATTTTGATTAAATTGAGGATGAGATGAACCAGTTCAAGCAGGTTCGTACCAAACCTTTGCAAATCCCTTTAGTTTACATGTACTAATACACCCAAATGAAATATTATGTTGTGTAAAATCATAAATACTCAAACCTTGAACAGCAGGCGATTAAACTGGTTTACCCTCATTTCATTTTTTAAGTCAAAGCAGAGTTATTTTCACACTTTTATGTTTGGTGTGGCAATACCACACATATGATTCAGTTTTTAAAACTGTTTTGAAGAGTGTCGGAGTTTGTCCACGTGCAAGCTGCCCACGTGTAAACCCAATAGTTGATAAATAACATAAAAATGCTGGTTTTCATTAGGAGGTGTAAAGGCAACAAAGCTGTTTTTATGTGAGCCCTATATAAAATAAGTTCGATAGCAATATGATTACTTCCAGTAAGTCTCTGTGTCCTTGTGCTGCCTACATTCAGTAGGGTAAAATGGATCCTTTCCACTTGTAAAAGGTCAAGGATCAGTGGAAAGGGTCATTTTTATTGTGGTAGGGAAGAGGAACATGGTTGATGTACAGATAATCCTGGCATTGCGTAGGCTAGAATGCAGTACTCATCATACAAAATAGTTTCTCTGCTCTGACATGTTAAAAGGTTAAGGTTTTGATCATCTCAGCAACTCTGGTATCAGAACATTTTTCCAGGTATGCAGTGAAAATCACAACATGAGCGATGTGTTCATGTGCAACTTTCGTGTCAGTTTTTGTTATTTACCATAATTACCACACCACATGAAGGCACCATTAGACATGTTGGACGCCTTCATCTGTCTCAGGTGTGGACGGTTGCCAAAGCGAGATCACGCTCCATCCTGCTGGTTATCTTACTTTCATGCAAACTATGTGACCCTGTAAGGGACTGGTTTTGCCTTTTGGCAAGATATTATGTCATTCAAACCTGTAAGGCAGCATTTCTGCCTACTCCAAATAAATCAGTATAATAATGGTATTTAATATATTTACCAGCAAGTTAGTTTTTGTTTGGTTTGATTTTGAGTTATCAAACCAACTCAGTCGTAGTTCCGATCATTCAAACAGAGCCATAATTAACTGAGTGCAAAATAAAGTTTTTATGCATCATGTGTTTTTTTTTTCAGGTTAATCAAATTATATGTAATATACAAATGTGTAGTGGGCATTTCTTATATATGAATTACCTTCAACTCAACTCGCATATGAAAATGGATATTGGTGTGACATGATTTATTCACAAATGTGAAAAGCATAAAGAATCAAGGCAGAGTGTATATGAATCCAATGTTTGTGAACAGGGGGTTGGTGTGAGACTTAATGCTTATGCGCTGATCCAAACGTGGATCACTATGAAAACAAACAGAAACTGGGTGATATGTTTTTTTTGTTTGTTTTTTTAATACAATATTCATTTGTGGAATTCTCAGAATAGGCTCTATGCACAGCTCCACTACTTCCTGAATTTAAGGCAGCTCCTTTGTTTCCTGTCTTTCATGATTGGATGCACTGATTAATCCAGGTGTGTATGACCTAAGTAACTGGCCAGACACACCTGGATTAATCAGTTCATCCAGTAATGAAAGACAGGAAACAAAGGAGCTGCCTTAAATTCAGGAAGTAGTGGAGCTGTGCATAGAGCCCATTCTGACAATAAAAAAATTCATAATTCTGAGAAAAAAGTCAGAATTCTGAGATTAAAGTCAGAATTCTGACTTTTTTCCCATGTTAAAATGAAAAAAAAAATGTTTTTTTAAATCAGTTAACTTTTTTTCAGTGGCCCTAATCCTCTTCCGTATACATGAGATCTATTTTTGTGATAAATTTCCATAAGATAAGTACTAAAAATGTTTGTTAAGGAGCATTAATGGCTCAAGAGGAGGAAAGGTCTTTATCATATATCCAGGAGTTTCCCCAGACAGGAAACGGGAGTGGTCCCCTTAAATCAAAACCCGGTTTTTCAAAATAAAAGCAGCCAATCGTGAATGGTTTCTCATCTCGCCGCGGCTCTAGAGATCAAAGTTAAGCCGTTAAGCGTCCATGGGTACCATAGAGTCTGTGATAAATGTGTGTTTAGACAAAAATTAAATAAAGATAACATCATCATCGTCGATCTTTTTATCCTTATTTTAGACCCAGAGCTCAGCTTCCCTCTGTCCATCCAGGAACGCTGCGCCGATCACGTGACCAACAACAGAAACTTAACTTTTTACCAAGAAGGGAAAACGAAAGTTATTTGTCCCACACGTTTCCCTGTGTTCCGATTTTCTTTTCCATCTTAGATGTTTTATCTTAGGAGCGCGTGGTGCAACCTCACCGTCACACATGCAGTATTTATTAGCGCCTTTTTAGAGCAGAACTTAAATGATCTAGCGTGGTTTGTTTTCTATTGACGCTAACTAACGTCCGGGTTTCCTTTATTTTTTTTGCATTTATCGTGCTGATTTTAAAAAAAAATCCTCAATATTAGAATTTTTATATATTACATCTTATTTCACTTAAATAACTTGATTGCTGGAAGACTTCAAAAGCAGCTCAAATTGGCTTCATTATCTCCTTTATCATCTGCTTCCTCAATTTGATCGCCTGAAGGTGAGATTTATAATTGTGTCCTAGTGCAAAGCCTTGTGCTTTCTATAACCACAATGCATATGTCTAATAAAAGGACATACAGAAGTGTTTCATTATTTACTTATTTACCCCTTTGACTGGGATGTAAACATGAAGAACTCTTATTTGTAAAAACCCCAAAATGCATATTTGTATTTTTGTGTGTCAGATGTTGCTTTGCATCAGGATCAGAATGAGTCTGCTCCAGCCCACTGTCTCTCCTTGTTACTCTGATGAACCGACACTGCTTTGTGCTCCATTAATGTGGGCCTGTCCAGCTCTGTGCTGACAGGACCAGAGGCGATGAAACTTGACTCAGTATTGGGTGACTTCTTGTTGTCAGCATCACTGATGCAGACATCATCGAGGGTGTTGGGTATGACACTCAATGCGGAATCAATCTTTATAAAAAAAAAAAAATAAACTGTGTAATCTTAATTTCAGATTGTGATCCCTGGTGTATGTTTGGAGGTAGGGAAATAAGATACCTATAAACAGAATTAAAAGCTGCTGGATTTTCCACTTCATAGTTTTCACCCTCTGTAACAGGCCAGAAATAATATATAGATGCGACAAGAAGTTTTTAATTATTAACCGATTTGTTTTTACCTTGGGATTTCTTTTTTAGCATTACACAGAACGATGGCACCTCCCTCAACTGTATCCTTGGAGATTAAGTGTGTTATAATCTGAAAATAAAAGCAGCAGAGATTCATTTCTGCATGTACTTTTTCCTACTGTCTATGCTTAAACCTTCCCAGATTGTCTGCTCTGTTGTGTGGTGCATTTCAGGATGTTAGCAGCGTCCTTGGAGTATAGAATGTGAGACTTGTCCAAGGACACTTAAGCAGGCTGAGGGGTTGTCTGCTGATGTAACGGTTTCTTGTAACCTTTCTATTTATTGTCGGTGTTCTGACTTTGGCTTTGTCTCTGCTTCCAGTGTGCGTCCATCCTGACCCAAGGGTTCATCTTTTGCCTTTTCTGTTGGAGTGTGAAGACTTGCAATCATCCTAAACAAAGAGCTGTCCAAGCCCCCCTTTTAACTCCACCCCTGCGCTATGAGCAGAGGTAGAGGAGGGTCCTACAAAGAACATTACAACAGACATCAGCATCCCCACCTTCAGGCTAAGGAGAATTACTACAGAAGCGGTCAGGCCTCCCTCTTTTATAGAGCCGGCCAGGAGCTTATCCCAAATCTAAATTACTACCACCATCCAGGAGGGCCTATACAGCCACCGCCTCCTCTGCTCCCATCTGCTCCCCCTATACCAGGCCAGGTTAGAGTAGTCGCTACTCCTGACCACATAGATTACCAGGTTCAGGGTGGCTGTCCGGTTCCGAATTCCTTCCATAGTAGACAAGTAGAATTCCTAAGAGGACGGAGCTCTGAGGCACCGCAGTTCAGACCTCACTTACAAGGAGGCGGGGCAGCATCGAGCAGGCCTCCTAGTTCTCCATACCATTCACAGTTGGGCTATAGTAGATATCCAAACCCTGGCAGCAGTCCGAGAGGACGAGGAAGCCAAAACCAGAGTTTTCATTACTCTTTGGGTCCAGGAGCATCTCGAGGAGCCAAGGGCCCTCGATTCCAAAATAAAAACCAGTTCCAAGGAAAAACCAACAATAATCAATTTTCCAACAGGCAATGTTGGCGAGAGGAAGACTCTCTGTGTGATAGTTTTCAGAGTTTCTCTCTTGAACAAGATCCAGCCAACCAAGGTAGAGAGAAGTTAGACAGATATTCATTATCCAACCCCTTAGCTGATTCCAGATTTGGAAAAGTTAACATCTGCCTTACACCGCACATACAGGAGCAGGTGCACGGGGTTCTGGCTGCTTTGAAGCCAGGTGAGAGTATCTCTGCGAAAGTGTTAGCCAAAAAACTCCATTTGCCCAAAAAGGTAGTAAACAAGGCGCTCTACTCTTTGGAGGGCTCACAAAGAGCTTCTAAGCAAGGACTTCAACCTCCTCTGTGGAGTTTGTACAAAGCTGAAGGTCCGGTCTCTGATAGTAGAAATTCAGTTTCTTATCTGTGTGCCGGTACCGAACAACCCGAAACAACTGAAACCGTGGTTGACCCAGGAAAGGAAACCAAAGGACAAGTTAAAGAGGAGAAATCTGACACAGAATCTAGTTCCTCTTACAGCCCGTCTCCAGAGTCTTCTGACTCGGAAGAAGCCCAGTCACCAGCAGAAAGTCAGAACCACAGAAACGATCCTGCAAGCACAACCAGCTCCACTAATCAGGACGCTAGTTCTCCCATCATGGCACACAAAGAGCAGATTTTACAATGCCTTCTTGATTTAGGAGAGGCAACTGCTCTCGTTTTAGCCAAAAAACTGTGTCTAACAAGTGCTAAGCAGGTAAACCCCACACTTTATGCTTTGGAAAGGCAAGGTGAAGTTGTTAGAAATCGTGATACCAATCCTCCAAAATGGGAGCTCTCTGCCCACCGCAAAGAGAGGATGGAAAGGAGCCTGAAAGTCTCAAAAGGTGCTCCTGTTTTTGGGGATCTGATAAAGATGGAAATCAGTACAGAAGAGAATAACGAAGGGTCTGTCTTCCCATCGTCAGCGTTACCAGCTATGCCAGGCCTTGAGCCTTTGCCTCTGCCTGATGATTTGCTGGAGCAAAGTCAAAGTGGTTTGGTATGTTAACTTTCATCCTTTTTATTTTCATAATATTTTAACTTGTAATGATTATTCCAGGTTTTCTATTGTGAAGCTGAAAGTTTAACTGGACCTCCAGTTTCAAGTAATGTCAAAGGAGTTAATGCTGACATTGTTTTCTGAAGCCTGTGGCTATAGTCACATTTACGTTTTGCCTATATTTCAACTAAAGTAAAAAAAAAAAATCCACGTGGGAAATAGGTGTTGGAGAAACACACACTGTTTTCTACCAAAGTAACCATCTGAAAAAAGAGTTTTATTGTTAAATAAAGTTGAAAATGATAGCTTTTTTCTTCTTTTTTACTAGATTTACCTTGAGGGAGAATTTAGCTTTTTTATTACTTGATTTAAACACTAAAACTTAACTCATGTATCCCTTTTTCCTTGTTTTAGGAGCCCACTCTAACATGTGAAGACAAAACTCCCAGCGACCTACCGTGGGCCTCTGATGACATTCCAGAGTTTCTCAATGCTATCCGGCGAGAGACTGATGCCAAGAAAATTGCAGAACAGCAAGGTGGCGCCGTTGGAACTGTTGCTGTGTCTGTGGCTGCACCACCTCCTCAAAACCTGCAGGCTAAATTACAGGAAGTGAGGTTGAAGAACCCCGTCAGTGGTCTGATGGAGTATGCCCAGTATCTGGGCCAAAACTGTGAGTTTCTGCTCCTCGACCAATCAGGACCCTCTCATGACCCAAGGTTAGTCGACTTTGTAGGTAACCATGCTGTTTTAGGGATAACAGATTTCAGTCCAGCCTGTGGATTGAGTTTCTTTCTTTCCCTGCCCTTGATAGATTTCGTATGCAGGTGATGCTGAATGGAAAGCTGTTTCCTGTCGCAGAAGCTTCCAGTAAGAAGGTTGCTAAAAAGGATGCTGCTGCAGCTGCTCTGCGCGTGCTTAGCGGAGAGATGCAGGGAGGGACGGTAACGCCGGAGGAGGGAAATGCTACCAGTGGGGACCAAATAGTGGACATGCCTCTAGATGCCACTGTGAGATTTTTAAAACAAATAAAAAAAAAAACTGTCTGTAGGAATGTAGTTGTTTCTTAATTTAATTGATCTTTCTCTTCTTTAGGGTTCAGATGAAAATATGGGTGGGACGTTTGGATCTAACAGTGTGGAAGGATCAGCAGAAGGAGCTCGCCAGCCTCTGTCCCGTTCCCTGCCCGGCGGGAAGAATCCCGTGTCTGTCCTGATGGAGTATAGCCAGCGCAGCGGAAACCCCATCGAATTCATTAACACAGGGCAGGCAGGCCCACCACATGACCCAAGGTACGCGCTCTGTCATCACTCAGATCGTATAAGGTTGCTGCTTATATTTCTTTGAAAATGTTTAGGGCTGATCAGGCTGCAGGGAGTAAGAGTCAGTGAGGAAGAGATAGAAGGTAGCAGAGTAAAATACATCCCTTTTGGGGAAAATACAAATAAAACCTCTGAACATGAAGGTAAATAATCCATCTTCACCCTGTTTAGGCACACAGCGAGTATATATCAGTGCGAGGGTGCAGCTGAAGTGGGACTAGAGAACGGCATTGCATATTACACATCTTTCTTTAATCTGCAGTCTTTAGCAGTGTCCCTATGGGTTAAATTTTACGTATTATTCCTTTTAAAAAAGCACCTGTTGAATATTTTTTCAGATTTTATAATTTCACCCAATCAGATTGAGGGTATGTTTTAATTTGTGGGCCACTGGGACAGAAGAAAAAAATGCTGCCCAGTCCCACACAAATCAGGACATCTGGTCAACCTATGCTTAGTAGGAGCCTCTATACAGCCAGTGTGACCAAAAAAAAAAAAAAAAAAAAATGCGTCGTAGCTTGCAGAGTTGGACTTGTGACCCAGTTTTTAGTCATCTGACTGGAGACAATGCCATCTTTGTCTGTCTTCTCTTTCAAATCTATTTCTTAAATGGTCTCTGGAGTGAGAGTTTTATTGTCTCGTGGTTTGTTACACCTTTTCTAAAAGAAACCAAAGAAGTATCATAAGCAGTAAAATTTATAATAACCGTATCTTATTTGTTTGTGTCTTAATCTTAAAGTACTGTGTGTTCTTGGTTACAGCCTTCTAATCTCTGTCCCGTTCTCAGGTTCATGTTCAAGGTGAAGGTTGGAGAGATGCTGTTTGCTGAAGCCTCAGCACCAAGCAAGAAGGCGGCCCGTCAGCTGGCAGCAGAGGAGGCTGTTAAAGAATTAATGGCCGATGGAAAACTGCAGGTAAACAAGGTAAGATATTGAAAGAGAATCTTAAGGAGTTGATATTATTATGCTTTTTTTAGCCCCATCTAGTTTCTACAAAGAACCTGCTTCTCTCCTGTTCAGACAAAATGATTAAGACCTGTATGTATAAACAGGAGCTGGAAATTATTTACACTATTTTACATTTCATCACATCATTAAACTTTGGTATACGTATTTTTTTAACATTACAAAGAAGTGGATATTAATAATAATAAAAAGTGAAAAAGATCTTTAAAAAGCTATTGGAAAAACTGCATCATTAAGGCCAGGACAATACAGGTACTAAGAAGTTAAAACGGGGGGAAAGTTATAAAGAAATAAGTCAAGTTTTAAACACCCCATGGAGCACTGCTTAATCTATCAACTGAAAAGGAGAAATGTGTTGTAGAACTGCAAACCTACTCAGGCATGTCTCTTTATTTAAACTGACAGGCCAGGCAAAGAGGGCAGTGGGGGGAAAAAAAGGAGAAGCTCCCAAGGGAGCAACAGACATCCTGCACTCAGATGGAAAATATATCGTATGACAATTATTAGTCCATCCTTCTGATTTCGGTGAATAGTTAGAAATCATTACTTTTATTTGAACCACGTGGCTGATTGAAAGTTGGATAGAGCTAAAAGCAGGAAAGTCCTGGAAGAAATCTGCAGAGGCTGGGTTAGAGGTTCACCCTCCTACAAGATGACAACCTTTAGCATGCAACTGGAGCAACCATATCATACCTTAGAATGGCCCAACCATGGCTCATACCTAAATCTAGGTCAACATATTTTTTGTGAAACTTGAGTTGCAATGTTTAAATACACTGTCAGGTGTTAAATATCTAGAAAACCATGCATCCTTTTTCTCTCACTTCAGTTTTTCCATTCAAAGAATCAAAATAAAATACACTCATGTTTTAAATTCGTATATTAGCTAAGGGTGAAAAAGTATAGATGCAATCACAAACCAGCTAATGCTCAGTATTCATTTAATGCCAGATGTACTAAAAATCTGTTCTTCTTGCTGACTATTTTACATCTCTGGTTTATCATTTCCCTGCCTTCCAGCCTCAGTTGCCCCTCACTCTGCCCCTTGAAGGAGATGGAGGTGCTTCCAGTGCCACCTGTCCTTCTTTGCCTCCTTTAACTGCGAGTGAATTGAGAGCTGCCCACGAGGCAGGGGTTGGGGACCTCATCAATCACCTGAACAACAACGCTGTGTCAGGTCTGCTGGAGTATGCCAGAGCCCGGGGCTTTGCTGCTGAGATTCGGCTGGTGAGCCAGTCTGGACCCCCACATGATCCTAAGTAAGTACGAACATTTGAGCTTTTAAATTCTGAAAACCTTCTTTATGCTCAAGCCATTTCTTTGAAAGGTTTATCTACCAAGCCAAGCTGGGCGGACGGTGGTTTCCTTCAGTTTGTGCCTCCAACAAGAAACAAGGAAAGCAGGAAGCGGCAGATGCTGCGCTGCGGGTTTTGATTGGAGAAGCTGAGAGGGCGGCGCGCACTGGAGAGCTAATTCCAACTGAGGTATCCACTGTGAAAACACATTCACTAATAATAACAAAGTCGTCCACATATGTGAAATATTGCGTTTGGCTTCCGATTGGCAACATGGGACAAAAGCTGCACATGCTACAGTACAGAAACATTTCACGTATAAGTAAACTGAAAATTTAACTTAACAATAAAATACCTAATTGAGGAATAACTGGTTAAATTCTTAATTTATTGTCCTTTTAAGCGACAATTGATCATTTTGAACAAGGATTGTGTTACAAGCTTAAAAATATATGTTTGTTATAAAAGTAGTGTACATAAGTGTAATCAGCATAGTAATAAAAATGATATATACTTGAATATTTTAGCATATAAAGGGCATCATATATAATCCAAACCAGCACAGTGCCCTTGCATTGATCCCTGCATGCTTGAGGCTTTATACTTTAATGCTGTGATCCATTTGATCAAAGACAGAGCTAAGATCTACTCAGGCAGGCACAGACATGAGTCCATAATCTTAGGCCATGGGAATATCATTATTTCATTCACTAGACCTTTAAATGCATTGGAACTTAAAATAATTACAGTGTTAACAGGGTGGGGCTTTAACAGAAGGTAGTAGTTATGACTGTCTAATCCCTAATCTGGTTCTGCAGTCAGTTCTTAGCTACCTCACCTACCGATATTCTAGTTGACACGTTCAGAAGCATGTCAGGAAGAGGCAATTACTGGAGAATGAATAGATCAGCTATGAATGTGTCGGCATGGCTACCATTGATCTGCTTTTTGTTACACTTGCTCTGCAAAGTGTTTTTCAATACAACAATCTCATTCCACTTTCAGTATCTATTAAGTTTTAAATAAAAGGACAAAATAAACACAATGTAAGATATTAGCTGTTTAGCTTTTTAAGCTTGAGTAAAAACTCGCACCAACCTACAGGATCCATCTTAACAAAATTACTGAAGCTCATGTCTGTTGGCCTACTGTAAATGAGCGTAGTCGGTGCAACCCAACATGCTGGAACAGGATCTGTTTGTTTTTTAAGCCCACCTCATTGCACAATGAGGAAATAATGTTCTTTTTGTCTCTGCATTTTTAATGATTGAAAGGGATTCTCTTTATGTACAGTTGATGGGAAAATCTGTAATAAACCTGAACGTAATTTGAGCCCTCATTCATCAAGCCGTACAGCAGGTTTTGGCTTGGGTGTGGTTTTTTTGTTTTATCTCCAGTGTATGAGACGTAAAGCCATTTAGAAGAACACATACTGTATTTTCTGCGCTAAAGAGCGCACCTCACTACAAGCTGTGGCACAAAATTATTTGAAAAAAACTGGAAACTTCAAGATATAAAGTACACCAGGCTATAAGCCAATGATATCTACTGAATTGTCTCCCACCGAACCTGTAGGGAGAGCTCTACTTATCACCCCTAGAGTAGGGACAAAGATGATAGCTGTCTCCTGTTAGCTTGTTTGCTTACAGCAGTAAGAGCTTCTACTGAAAGATGGGACTTTGTCAGCTCTTTATTTCAGCTCTGCAGGAGTTGAGCCCAGTCTCTTCATTGGTTTGGCAGCTTTAATGCAGCAAATAAAGGTCAAAATGTGTCAATTTGGGAATTTTTTTCTCCATCATGTCAGCTGCTAGATTGCTCTTGTGCTTAATGAAAATTAGCCCCTTATTCTTTCATTTCCAACTTTGACTTCACCCTCTGGCGGTTAGGAAAAATCCACAGAAAAGCCGCACAGTATTTGAAAGCTTCTTGTTTACTTCTTTCTTTGCAGCTACCGGTTAGCGGCAGCACTTTGCACGACCAGATAGCCATGTTGAGCCACCAGCGTTTCAACGCCCTGACCACCCGCATCCAGCACAGCCTCCTGGGACGCAAGATTCTGGCTACCATCGTCATGAGAAGAGGGGAGGGACTGGGAACTGTCGTCAGCCTTGGAACTGGTAAATTCATGACATATAACAAAAGTTGGGTCGGTAAAACGGGAAAAAAAAAAGTGTTGTCCTTGCATTATTTTGTCTGTATATTTTGTTGTTTTTATTTTCTTAGAGGCAAGTGCTGTAACAAATCTAATACGTGTGGATCACACAAGACTGTATTGTCATGTTGGTTGACTTGGATTTTTCCTTTTCTTTTATGTGTCAGGAAATCGTTGTGTCAAAGGGGAGGAGCTGAGCCTTAAAGGAGAGACTGTAAACGACTGTCATGCTGAAATCATCTCCAGGAGGGGATTTATCCGGTAGAAATGGATACCACACTCGTTTATTGATGCTTCTCCCACATTTCTAAAAATACGCTCTCCTCTCCCAGAAACAGCCAGCGCGACTTTATTTTGAGACGTAACCCATCGTCTCCTTTCCTCTCAGGTTTCTGTATAGCGAGCTGCTCAAGCACTGTGATGGAGCAGACGACAGCATTTTTGAGCCAGCAGAGGAGAACAAACTCAAGATCAAATCTGACATCACGTTTCACCTTTACATCAGGTTGGGGCATCTTGCTAGACCTTTTAATCTTATTTTGGCTCTTGTCAGACATTCATGTTGTTCCTCTTCCACAGCACTGCACCTTGTGGGGATGGAGCCCTGTTCGATAAGTCATGCAGTGAGGCAGGAGATGAAACCCAGGGGCACAAGCCTCTCTTTGAGAACGCAAAGCAGGGCAAGCTTCGCACTAAAGTGGAGAATGGTCAGACAACACATTTAAATAAACCAGCAAAAGGGGGTCATTACAGTGGATATATAAAAGTCTGCTTTTGATACATTAACTAGATTTTGTGATATTAAAAGATGAGACTGATAAATAATTTCCTGCACTTCTTTTACATGTAATGTGTCAAATCCCATATCTAAAAAAAAAAAAGCTTTTAAGGGGAAAAATTATAGTGCTTTGTTGAAGCACCTCTTAACATCCCTTAATTTTGCCACACTTGTCACATTTGGCCCATTTCAAACAGACCAAAGTTTGTTTCCCCACTTGTTCTGCACCTTCTGTACAGGTGTGAATAAAGACCAAAAACTACAGAGACCCGCTTTGCAGACACACGCTACTTAGAGCTACCTACATTATGTAAAGGGGTGAAAGGAAGCGGTTACTGTGAACCACTGCGGTCAGTGGTGGTACCCAGTCCTAGAAAGAAAGAGCAGCTGCCCTTGTAATAAGCCAATCTAAGCGCACAGTGATTCTGATGTGCATTCCAGTCAGATACATGATCACTATGTGTGTGTCTCGCACAACACTCTATTCTGCCTGTAAGCCTTTGGAGATAATGGGTTTCAAAACACGCAATGAGCGTGTTGCATCCTGTCTGAAATGCCAATTAGCGTCAGTTTTGCACTTGGCAGTCTGCACTCAAGACCTGATAAATTTTAAGGCTACATTCAGTTCAAACATGTTATTTAATGTAAAAAAAAAAAGGTGTCCAGCATCTTAACTCGGATGCTTGTGCATCAGGAAATAAGACTCCCAGAAATCTGCATGCTCAGTGCTCCGGTGTTGAGCTATTCATCTGCTGGCTTTTGTTTTGTTATTTTTTGTTGACCCACTGCCCATCTTATATCTCTTTTGGTGATACTGCTCAGTGTTGTTTTGTGCCAAATCATGTAATCATAACCTTAAGCTTGTTTTTAAAATCCATCACATAGTTTTGGGATATTTCCAATTTTTAGCCTTGCTTAGATTATTTTGTTTTTAATAAAACATATATGTTGTTATGGGTGATGCACTAACAGCAAATGGTCATGTTCCTGCAGGCCTCTTGGCAGCCTCAGTGGCCAGTTTTCTTCTCATTGTGTCGTCACTTTTATAAGGGTGTTCAGTTCCTGCTAATACTGCTGTGCTGTATTTCTTTCTACTTCTGACCGTCCTAACGATGTTCAGTTTCTTATGCCATGAAAATTGTGTCTAAAACCTTTTAACAGTGAAATCGCTCTAATGATTTTGAAGCTCTTTGCAAACTTTATTTTTTCTGCAAGATGCAGCACATTTCAGGAAACAGCTGACCTTTACTAAAACAGCGGCTGGTTCCCCGGGATTAGTCTAATAATCTGCGGTTAATTCTGGCCTCTGATTCAACGTGAATTGTAATGTGGGGGTGATTGTGATCACAGTGGCACCCCAGCTATGAAATTATTTTTTAATTTTCGCTTCACATGTCATAGGTCAAATTACATGTAGGGGAAAAAATGCAACATTGTCTCACATTTTACTTCACAAAAAGCTACCATTTGAACAGGCCTTATTAGGCTTTTTTATATCTGCTGAATGTGCCACGATGCTATTACTTATTGTGCTGAATGAACTGATGGTGTTTTTGAAAGAGTTAAAGCTTTCCTGCTGCTATTTGCAGGTGAGGGGACCATCCCGGTAGAGTCGAGCGCCATTGTCCCCACCTGGGACGGCATCCAGCACGGTGAAAGGCTGCGAACCATGAGCTGTAGTGATAAGATTCTGCGCTGGAATGTGCTGGGCCTGCAGGGGGCACTGCTCTCTCATTTCTTACATCCCATCTATTTAAAGTCCATCACGCTGGGTAAAATCATGCTGCTGATTGGTGGTTGTTAAAATCTTAGACAAGCATTTAGAAGATTTAGTACTGGTAAAAAAGGATCGCTTCCACACTGACAGATTTCTGTCTTACATCATATCAGGCTATCTGTACAGCCACGGTCACCTGACGCGTGCGGTCTGCTGCCGGCTCGCCAGAGACGGTGAGGCCTTCTCCCAGAGTCTCCCTCCTCCCTTCACTCTGAACCACCCTGAGGTAAGAGCATAAGTTGCTCTCTAATCAGGACATAAATCAGAAACATTGAGGTCATTTTCAGTAAATTAATTAATGAAGCTGCCAACAGTCTTATATTGTGCCTGCACAGCTGTTTTTATTGTGCGGCGTCTGTTAATGGAACTCATCCATCAATTAACAAAAAGCAGAAGAGTTCTTGTTGTGCTGCCAGGAAAAAAATATCCACAATCACATCATTCATATCAGTTAATGCTGTAAGGGGGGGTCTGTATCAAGCAAGTACTACAGTTCAGCCCACATTTATTCTGCACTAAAGGTCCACTGATAGCAGTTTTCTGGTCAGATCTTTAAAAGGCCTGACTGCTGATTTTAAATCTGGTTAATATCGCCTTTGTTAATGGGTGACACTATCGGATATTATCAGGTCACAACACAGCTTCAGTCTTCCAATCTTATTTAATTTAAAAACATTTAATTGTACTCAGGAAACATCACAAACTTGTTTAAATTGCACATGAGGTAGTGCCATAAAATAAAAATTCAAGGTTTAGAGCATCGATATTGGCTGATTTTTTTTAAACCTTTGTGAAGGTATATGGTACATAACTAAATACAAAATGCTTTGATTCATTAAAAAGATGGGAAGTCTTTGTTGGAAGGCTTCTCCAGAGTCAAGACTCCTTCCAGCAACCTGAGGGACTCTCCTCCACTTCCTGGTGTTGTATCATAAATGGTCCTCTCCTCAGTCCAGTTCTTTGAATCTCACCTAGAAGCAGAAAGTTAAAGATTTAAATAAACATGAGCTTTTTATCAAATGTGTTAACACATATTAGTGAATGACAGTTTTAAATCTATATCACAAAAAAGAAGTTATAATTAATTGTGCTAGAGTGAAAGAAGACACTGAATATAATACATTATGTGAAGTATAGAAATGGCTGGAGGAACCTCAGTAGTGATCTTTGCAGATTGAGTTAGGGTCCTTATCTTTCTTCCTACTGTGCGTTATGGCACGAGATAGACGGATCCTCATCCCATGTCCAGTTCTTCATTTTGTCTAAGCCACTTAAAGAAACTGCTTTGTTGCTATGATATAGCTTTCTGATGTCAGCTGATACGATATAAGCAAGAATCATACATACCTTTTTTTACTGGAATTTATAAAAAGGTTTTGATCAAATTCAATTACTCAAGCAGAGAAAAATAGTAACGACAGGTGCAATAACAGCCGACTAACTGATTATTAACCAATGTGTTCGATAAACTTTTGACAAAAACAAAGTGTTTTTATCTGCATGTCAATATTGGAATCTTTAGGTATAGGCTGATATTAGACCAGGACATTACAGGTCACATCATATTTACATCATGCATTTTGAATTATGAAAGTTTCCCAGAAACTCTAATGGTCTTAATGAAAAAGAAGACAAATATCACCAGTTTACTTTGTTTTGTGTTCTACATGTTAGTATGGATGCACATAATTAAGTCCTTGGTGAGTTTAACAGTCTGTGCTTAACATTACAAAGAAAACAAAATGGGACTTTATTCTCTGAAGGTTGTTTTTCATAGATTTCTGGGTGATATCAGGCTGGTACAATGAAAGATGCATTTTGTTTAACTCTCTGTACACATCCCCACTGATGGTATTAGTGTTTTGTCTGTTTAAGACTTAGTATTTGAAATTGCAAACTTGCAATTTGCATTAGATCCAAACATTTTTCCCCCCCTGCTGAACTCCAGGTGGGCAGAGTGAGTGTGTACGACTCCACCAGGCACACAGGCAAGACCAAGGAGTCCAGTGTGAACTGGAGCTTTCCAGACCAGCACAATGTAGAGGTTCTGGATGGGACCAAAGGAAAGCTAGATGGGTATGTGTCAAACTGTTACCTCTTGTTCATGCTGGAAATGTAATTTTTCTGTAGCCTCATAGGTCTGTTATCTTTAGTCAGAGGCTGAAGATTCTATTTAGGATGTTTTAGAACTTGATGCTGTTAAACATTTACATTATTTACACTTATGCTGATGTCCTTTTGGCCAGGTCTCTCTTGCAAAAGACATTTTACATCTAAATGGGACTAACCTGGTTAAATAAAGGCCAAAAAAAAAATAACATTTTGTGGATGTTAGTTTCGAATGTTGTCAGAGTCTACTAACTATGACCAACTAGTAGTCATAGCTAATTAGCCAATGCTGATCCCCGAAAAAAAGCTAATATCAGCTGGCCAATGTATTGGCCTATCTGTAGTATATCTTTAAATGTAAAACAAACAAGCTACAAAAACATAAAATACTGTTGAAATAAATGTTTCACAGCAGAATGAGCAGATGTTGAGATATATGGTTAAAATCTCTTTAAAAAAAACTTTGACTAATTTGTTAGTTTGTTGTGCTCTTAAATAATGAGAAAGGGGTTCCTGAGCATGTAAACTGCTTCTGCAGATATATTTCAGTGGATTTAAAGAGAGAGATGAAGCAGTTATAAGAAGAAGGTCAGCGTCATTAGATAGAACATACCTTTAGGATGCAGATTTGTATCTGTTGGAGCCGCTTGCAGAGCAGATGGCAGCATTGAGGAAGAGCAGCAGACACAATGGATGATTTTAGGACTTAAAAACGTCACCTGACTTGTAATGATTTCAATCTCAGAAACCACAGTGATGCCTTTATTGTAATATACCCTATGCATTTACAGTCATAAGAGAAGATTCGTTTTTTAAGTTAACCTGTGTTCATGCGCTCCCTTCCTAGATAATGGATTATCTGTGTTAAATAGATGGTAAAGTACAGTTGTTAACTAAAAAAAAAAAAAAAAAAACTCAACTGTATTTTGCTTTATATAGCTTTAGAGCTTTAATTTGCAACATAAAAGTACCAAAAATCAGCATGTGTAATTAATTTAGTTATTTATATCAGATATATATCAGTTACAGATATAATGGCTTCTACATTGGTCTCCATCAGTACATAACTAACCAATTATTTAAAATGTCCCCCTTCAGGAACAAACAGGCCATGTCCCGCGTGTCCAAATCCACCCTCTTCTGCATGTTTCGCTCTCTGTGCCAGAGGTTTGGCCGCACAGACCTCCTCTCTCTATCCTCCTACGCTCAGGCCAAGACGTCGGCCATGCCCTTCCAACTTGCCAAGCAGCGGTTCTTTGAAGCTCTTTGCGTCCACGGCTACGGAGCCTGGATCGGGAAGCCGCTGGAAGAGAAGAGCTTTGAGGCTTTTGAGGCAACTGGATACAATGGGGGGGGTGTCCATGTGGGATATGGCAACAATAATAACGGAGGGGTAGTCGAGTGCAAGCAGGAGGAGGTGTAGGCCCATGTACTTAAAAAAATTATTCATCTGTGAGGGAAATGGAGAGCAGGGTATGATTTAGGAGAGGGGGTGGGTTTTGCAGACATGAAGTAAAAGTACAATCAAACAGCACACAGCCAGTGGCCAGAACTGTATCTTCTGATGAAACATGTTTGAAGGGTGCAGGGAGAGTGATAGAAAGGGACAAGACGAGTCAAGGGCAAAGCCTGAAGTATGAATGAGGTTACAGTTGACATTACAGAGAGATCCACAGGCTGTGCAGAGCTCTGTAAACACTACATGCAAAAGAAACTTTCTGCATCCATGTTCCTTCTCTGTCAGCTTTCAATGGCTCAACCGAAACTATGTCATTTTCTTTTCCAATTTTATTTTTAAATTTCTGTCGAGTGTGGGGTCTATTCTGTTTTAATTTTTTGCTGTTGGAGCTTTTGCTTTAAAATCTTGTTTTCTTCTATTGGTTTAGAGGAAATTGTCAAACGGTCTGGACCAAGATGACTTCTACTGATTATATTAATTCTGTTTGCACCTAAAGCAGCAAAATGGTTTTGGCCTAATGTGACCCTGCATTTTAGCAGTGAATGAAATCACACCGTGGTTTAAAAAAACAAAACATTGTTTTATTTTATATAACCATTATTTATGACATTGATATCCAAAATCTTTTTTTTTATATATAAAACAAAAAGCAACAATTAAAGGTTAAAAATAAAGAACAAATAATATTTTATAAATTTTTTACTTTATTTTATGGGGGAGCCGTATGAAAATGTAGATACTTGCTCTGGTTAACATTATTCAATAATGTGGCAGAGCAGCACCCTTAGCAGGTTGAAGGGGTAATGAAGGATCTGGACTCAAATGCTTTTCTCCTGTGTGCGGTTATTAAAATTGTTCTGAAGTCAGAGTAAAAAAATCACTCCAATCTAGGAAAAAGTTATTGCCCTAAAATTTGTTTTACTGATACTTAAAAACAAGACTTGAATTAGCCTGATTTGCATCTAGCTTTACAAAAGCATAGTCAAGAAATGTATTGTTTATATAAAATGAATGGACATGTTTTTTTCAAAGAGCTTCCTCCAACAGTTTCTACCCTCTGAATAAATTTAAGATCCCTCACTGATGAAACACACCATCTTATCCACCTTTATGTGATGGCACAGAAGAGAGCGATTTAGTGACTCTTCTTATCTGGCTACAGGTAAGGGCTGATAATTCTCAGAATCAACCCCCATTAATATGAATCTGAAATTAAAGAATAAAAAAACTGATCAGAAGGGATTTAAAAGAAAGACTGCTAACTCATTCTGCTGCCCACTTGAAACTAATAAAGTCGTAAAACCAATTAGTTAAACCTTTTACGTTTGAGGTTGACAACCCAACTGTTTTTCTAAATCTTCAATGTTCAGGGTTGAAAATTGAGCAAAAACTGAAAGTTTGTACTTGTGAAATGGATCTGCTTGTGTTATTGATGCTAACACATGAGAAGTGTTGGCGTAAAAAGTTATACATCTTGTTTTTTGTCTGGTTTATAAGACAGAGGGCTTGTTGTAAAGACCAAAGAGGCCTCAGCAAAGTAGCAGCGGGATTGTTTTTGTATTTTTACGTTGCCGTTCACTTTAGGTGAATTCAGACTGAAACCGAATCATACATGTTTTTGTTATACACACTGAAAATGTCCTTATTTTGAGGTCAAATTACTGTTTATTATTACTTATATTGGAAGTGAGGAATGCACTGACCTAATTTGATTTTCAGCAGTACGGTCTAGCTTTAACCCTTAATTTATAGGTTTTAGTTGAAGCATCTGGTTTTCTAATTCACACCAGTTTTACCTTTCAAGTTTGGTTTGATTCCTGGACATCCCTTTAACATGGTGTCTCATATTTTCCACAAACTCAGCGTAGATTGCAGCATATTCCCTTTGTTGGTTTAATCTGTCCTGATATACAAGCTTTTATAGAGAAATGCTGGTATTGGTGTCTGAAACCAGTACACTATTGCTGTTCTTATGGCTTGTGTGGTTTTGTGTGTTTCTTTTAAATCTGTTATTATTGTTCTTGTAAAGTTTGAAGCCTAAAATGTTGCTTTTAGCTACCACATGGGATGCAGTCAGAGCTTCATGTGTTGCCCTCTCAGGAGGTCTGTCGGGGAATATAGCTGCAAGGGGTGCTGTTTTCATCATTAAGAAGGATGATGTGATATATACATCAGTTCTGCACAAATACACGAATACACAGACATACGGTAGGTTTTAGAAGCCTGAGTCTAGTGTCAGGAACTCGTTTTGTTTATTAGCTGGTCGTTTTTTTTAACAAATGCAAATAGATTCTTAAATGATTTGCTCCTTATAATAATAATAAAGCTCATATGCAGATATGCCTCAGAAGCTGTTGTTTGTTTTGGGGGTTTTATTCCAAGCAAGGAGAAGCTATGCAAGCACTCACTGTTACTTTAGGCCATTTTGTGTCTGCTGCCTCGGCAGAATTAATATTTGATTTTACTTTGGATTTTCTCTGATTTTCTTTCTTGCCCCCAGTTGCTGCTGTAGAACAGAGGGCACTTTGTTCAACATATTAGCAGTGTATACATTTCAGCTGTATCAGAGGGACTAAATCAACCATAAAGTAGCAATATTATTTATTCAAAATACAAAAATAGAGATGGAAATTAGATTATTGTTTGATGTTGATGTGGACTCAGACCTCTGAAACCTGCTGTATGGATAAACAGTTGCTAGGAGTTTTATGCTTATATACAGCGTGTGTATCTGTGTGTGAATGTATTTGTGTTTCAAATGTATATAGTTTATAAAACAATAAAAAAAATTCATTTTTATATATATTTTCATGTAATTCTTTTTATTTAAATTCCAGTGAAATATTTCTTTTAAACATTTAACAATTTAGATATCGGTAGTAAAAATGGCAATTGATTTGTTTTATTTTGTATTTCAATGGTTGTGCACACAGGAGCTGAAAGGTCTCAGTGACATGCAGCACTTCCTGTTTTAAAAGAACTGTTTTAATGGCACTAATGGAGGTGTATTGATAAGGGCTGCATTCTAATTAATTAATTAATTGATCTACAGTTTTTTCCATTTGAATAAAACCTCTAATAGTATACCCTTAAGGTAATATAATGCCATGAGAAAGGCCTAATAAGAATATATAAACACCTCAAATGATTTAAGTTGCACAGATTGTTCAAATAGCTTTGTTATTCCTCAAATACAGTTGTTTCTACTTTTGTAATAAAACACAACTAAGCCAATTATCATTATAAACAATATTAAAGGTCGATGCAATAATCTGCATAAGGATCCAAACTCAGGTCAAAATGTACCACCCATACACGTTTCTTCTGTTTTTACTAATTTTAAATTTAATTTGCATAATTGGTACTGATTTGTGAAATGTCTTAAATCTATGTATGTATGTATCTATATTTATGTTTGAAAGAGAAACAGCAATGCAGCCTGTGGAAGCAGGGGAAAACCTCCAGAGCACTTGGCTTATGCAGAAGGGCAAAGTTCCAAGTTGCATCTGAGAACGGAAATGAGGCTTTCAGCAGGGCCTAGTCAAAGTCTAGATTTAACTATTTTCAAGACTTTACAGCCTTTCTTTGTGACTGAATTAATGAAATTCTAAAAGCAATAAACTAAAATTCCTCAACAACAAAGTAAAAGGTCACGTACAACATAGAGGCATATTGTTCCACCCTTCGTGATTGTCAATCCAATCAGTTATTAGCTGTTGTAGATTCTCAGTGAACCAGGACATGATAATCCTAGGCCTTAAATTAAATGATAGCTAGACTACTAGTTTGCTGAAGATGTTTCTCCAAAATTTGAGACGAGCCTCTTGGTTTAGGTAATAATTATTTTTCTGCACAGACCCAAGCTGATTTGGACAGTGGGATTATTATTAAACTTCTTTTATTATTGTTATGTACTCTGTTTTTGTTAAGTTAAAATTTGTTTGATGATCTGAAACAAAAAAAATAAAATTTTGTAAGAGGGAAAAATACCTTCACAAGACGAAGATTTTCACCCCTGATTTGTAATAAGTCTAAATCCCAATACAATGCTCTAAAGGATCAGCAGATGGTGATATGTGCACACATGAAGCCCCTGGGCTGCTCAGTGTCAACTACAGGCTGCCATTATATTCATGCTGGATTTCTGAGTGGATTATCCTATTATGGGTTTAGCTTTGATCCACTACATTGAAATGAAGTTTTTAAATGTATTATGTTCTGTTTTCATACACATTTTCAACAGATTATTTTATTTTGGAAACATATTTGATCAGAGATTTTTCTTTGAAGAAGCTGCTGAAAATTGATCAGGAATCACCAGATGAGCCAGGAAATATTTCTGGTCTAATTTTACTTAGAGGTGCAAAGGAATAGGTTGTGAGTGACATGAATTAAGATGCATGGTCTTAACATAAAGGAACATCCAAATTGGAAGCTAGTAAGATGATATAAATGACCGATTTAGGACATTTTACACATTTTTATATTCTTGGATAATTGTTGATATTCTGCTGGCTTCAAGACTATTTATAGTATCTTTACATACAAAGCTGTAATCAATGGTTTTTACTTTTTATTTATTTACTATAAATTAAAGGTATATTGTAGGATGTTCTTTTTCTGGGTGGATCATCAAAATAAGTGGTTCTCCTAATTGTCAATCATTCCGGTGATATGTTTACATAAGGCTGTCCTACGTGCTTGTTCCCATTTTCACTTACCAGTGGTGAGTCTGACATAGTGGAAAAATTGCAAATGTTCTTTTGGAAAGTAAGCTTGTATAAGCAATGCAAACAGCAACTTTTAAACAGAGCGTGCACAAGGAGAAATGGGCTCTCGCATGCATTTACGGTAATAGGCGTTCTCTAACGCAGTGTTTTTCAAGCCTGGTCCTCAAGGCACCCTGCCTTGCATGTTTTAGATGTTTCCCAGCTTTCACACACCTGTTATCAATTGATAGCAGATTATCAGGCTTTGCTGAACTGCAATCATCTGAATCAGGTGTGCTGAACCTCAGAAACATCCAAAATATGCAGAGCAGGGTGCCTTGAGAACCAGGATTGAAAAACACTGCTCTAACGTGAGCAGGTACGGGGTTGTTCATGTGCATTTTCTTTTTAAAGTGGAGAGGTCAGGTCTTTTTTAAAAATTTGCGAAAATCCTTGACAATACCTTTAAGATTCCAGACCATCAGCTGTTGCTTATAAATGTATAAGAAATAAACCTTAAAATGTGTATCGTGCTTTTGCGTTTAGCCAATGTGAGTCCATACTTCGTAGAAGGCTGTGTAACCCAGAGGTATACCTCCTCTGGATTAACACATCTACAGATTGAAATTTCTAGCCTTTCCTCTTTCCAGATCAAAGGTATTATCTGACTGGATCACTGGATCCACGTATTTATTTTTGTTCTGTTTTTGTAGCAAATTGCAGAAGTCTTATAATTTGCTTTCTTCTTGCTTATCATTACAATGTTACATAGAGGATAAAACTAATAGTTATCTTCTCAGTGGATTCCTCTGTCTGCTGTGGATATCTGCAGTCCTCTTGTTACCATGAGTCACGTGGCTTTTTTTGTTTTGTTTGTTTTTTTAATCCACCTCTTGTCTGGCCAGTCGATTTAGATGGGAGGCCATGTTTTGTTAGGTTGATGGTTCTGCCTAATCATTTCAATCATCAGCTGATGGATGCAGCAGCGCTTAGTGACATGTTCAAAGCTTGGGATATTGTTGCATAACCTAAATCTGCTTTATCCCTTTGCTGTCTGCACTTTCATATTGCTCTGTATTTATAATGCTGTTTGTTCACTAATGTTCTCTAAACCTAAGACAAAGCAGCTGTATTGATAATGAGATTAAACAACACATTTGTTTCACTAGCTAATTTTGGAACCATAGACAGCTGAATTACAATTGGAGATTTTGTTAAGGGGTATTAGAGTAAAGGATACCCCTTATTGTACTTTTGTAAAATATACTTTTTGTCCCTTAATAAGTATGTTATGCTTATACATTTATTGAAAAGTAAGCAAAAAGTAGGACTCGACCGGCAAAACATGCATTGAGGCCTTAATACCCCAAACTCTTTTTTTTTTTTATTATATATTTATTTTTTTATCAGTCAGGCACTAATTGAAATAAACTATGTTAAAGTTTGTAAAGTAGGTGTTAAAAACGTTGAAAGGTATAAAAACTTTAATAAAAAGAAAGTTTGCACTGCAGCCAATATTGTTTTTGAAAGCCGTCTTAGATTTAGTCCTAGTCTTAAGGAAGAAAATTATGTTTTAGTCGCATTTTATTCATTACGATATGTGATAGTTTTAGTCAGTTTTATGTTACAAAAAAAGGTTAACCTTTACAATTTTAAATAACAACCAGATTCTTTACCAGACTGACAGCTCTTGCTTAGATACTACAATTGCTGGATATAGAATGCTGCCATTCAGTTCATTATTGCTTTTGGGCAGAAAACTTTGATTTAAAGAATTCCAATAAACTTATTTATGAATTAATGCCCGACTTTATAAAAAAGTGTCTCACAAAAGCTGTGAAAATAGCAGATCTAGTTCAACACATCATATTGGGTAATATGGCAGACAGACAAGCTAACAAAATGTACAATAAAGGAATGGTTTTAGACATACAATGTTTCCAGCATAAAGCAAACACTTCCTGATCTGCTATAAATAATGCATTACACACAGATCAATAAAATCTTCATTGCTCCAAATAAGCAAAGAACAAAAATATTCTTCTTTCTACTTTGGTAATGTTGGCTTTATTTTAAGAATTTATCCCTTAGTTACCACTGCTCATGGGTCAATGGTCGATTTAAATTGACAGGGTTTTGATCTAAAGAAAAATACAGAGAGAACCTTCATTATTGCCTTGTAATGCCATGCCAATCCAGACCTCAATTGAATGAATATGCTAACTAAAATGTTGACATATTCAAAGGAAAAATAAAAAATGTTTTAATGACAATACAAGGAAACACATCATATTTAAATACGGTAGATAGAAACGAGAACAATTAGAGAAAAATAGTCAAAGATCTATGAACCTTTTCATCTGTCTCTTTATCCAGAAATAAACAATGCAATTAAATATTTTCTTTGGTTATAATTTAGTTATATAATTTTATCTCGTTTTGGTAGAAGTTAAAGAATGTTTAACATCACCTCTTGTGAGCTGGAAGAAATAAAATCCTGATAGTTAGACAAAGGGATTTTTTACGTTTGGCAGAGGATGATCAGCTACATAGTTTATTAAGTAGCGAGAGCAGGAAGAGCCATACTGCTGAGAGCGAACCATCAGTGTGGAGCTTTGCACAGACTCTGAGCTACGCTGTGCAAAAACGCATTTCTGCACAAGCACAACTGGAAGATCAGAGTTGAGCGTGCAGTACTGGACCATTCCAGGTTATTTTCTCTGTGATCTATTTTTGGTCATGCAGAATGAGCACCGCTGCATGCCAGATGGACTGCGTAACCAGACAAGGCGCAGCTGCACAGCTGATACTGCTTAGCAGATTACAGCACAATGATGCATTTTAAATGTCTGACAGACCACCCGCTAATTTTTATTTAGCCTCGTCTTGTCTCTGACGAAAACTATGTAGAGGGCCCTATGTAGGACATTTGGACACAGCCTATGTCTCTTGTCTTAATGTGTCTTCAGTACATGGACTATAACAGGGGCCAGCACCAATTTGGCGCCTGTCGGTCTCTCTAGAACTGCTCTTATTGGCAGGTAATCAAGTGCATGTATATGGTACATTTTATAT